GGAGGCTTGCTGTGAAAGACTTGAGATTTCCAAATAAAGTCGTGGGCCAAGAATTGCTAGTGCTTCTGTCACCGTCTTAATTAATATCTTTTTTTCCTGATACATGTACATAACTTTCTTCCTATCACAAAGAATTTTCTCCATGGCATATCTTATGATATCTTCTTCTTTAATGTCTGCCCATATAGGTCGTCCCATATTGCGAATTTGATTTATTGATGATGAAATTGTAATATTTACTGGTTGTTGCATGCGGCAGTCAAATACATCAAGAAGGTAAAATGGTTTATACAGTATTTGTCCTTCGTGGCTGACTCTGCTGGATGAGTCGTGGCGTTTGGCAGGAGAGAAATCTGAAACTTTTGAGAGAGTGTCTGTGAAAAGTGCCATAAAACTTCCACGTGGAATAGCCTGTAGTGCCTTCCGTAAGTAATAAAAATTACCCTTGTTTTCAGAAGTGTTGTTGTCAATCAATATACCAGCTTCGTCAAAGGCTAATAACATCTTAAATGAAGAGGGGTTGCTCAATTTTTTCAAAGTAACCATAAGGTTTTTATATCGATTTGCTATCTTTCCTTTAATATCAGTCGAGACCTCTTGCAAGTTCATCTGCTCCATCACCTCGTTCCAAAAACATTTTTGTAGTTCGAACGTTTCATCATTTTTGTCACTGATAAGAATGTCAAACACACAGCCACATGTCTTTTCCGCATTTTCACGAAGTTGTTGATCCAAGAATTTTGAACACACACCAAACAAAGCCAATAAGAAGGTAAGATAGTAAGTTTCTGAAGCATCCTTTTTAGTGATTACATCAGCAATGATAGAACGGTTTGGATAGCCCCTCGTTATTGAATCGCGCAAACAAATATACACCACCAAGACGTCTTTTTCAACTGCCAATTCTCGTAATAGTCTTGACTTGCCAGTGCCGCTGGCTTGTACGAGCGATGTGTATGGAGCATAGAACTGTTCCGGTGTCCATTTAATCGCACACTGTTCCAGATGACGAAAAAAGACGTCGACATAGTCCTCTCGAGGTTTTACCAAAGCATTCTTAAACGCGCTCTTTAATA